AAAATGTATACAAGTGTACACTTTGGTCAACGTTGCTCAAGCAGTAGTTCACCATAAGTGTCTAGACTCTGAGGGTAATCACTTTGAGCGCCTCTAGTAATTGCAGAAGTCAAGTGTAACTTGTATTCATCTTTTGTTATTGGTATATATTGAGTATTACAATTAAAATACAGTTTTCCTTTCTTAAAGTGTGTATACTTTTTGGTACCCTCTGTATATACAATATTTGTCAGTTTACCTCAATAAAGCTGGAAAAAATGAAAAATATTTTTAGAAGCTGTTCCTTTGAAGACATCAATAAAATTGATAAGCCTATAGCCAGGCTAATTAAGAAAAAAAGAGGACACAAAATAATATTAGAAATGAAAGGGGAAATCACTACAGATCCTGCAGATATTAAAGGGATAATAAAGGAATACTATGAAAAACTCTACATTCACAAATTTCATAACCTAAATTAAATAGACCAACTGCTTGAAAGATACTGTTTGCAAAAACTCACACAAAAAGAAACAGACAATTTGATTTGGCCTATATCCATAAAGACATTGAAACAATAAATAACCTTCCAAAAGAGAAAGCAGCTGGCCCATATGGGTTTACTGATGAAGTCAGCTAAGTGTTTAAGGACAAAATTATACCATTTATTTATAACCTCTTTCAGAGAATAGAAGCAGAATACTTCCTAACTCACTCTATGAGGCCAGCATTAACCTACCGAAATACAAAAAGCAAACAATGACATTATCAGAAAACTACAGACAAGTACCTCTTCTAAACATAAATGCAAATCTTCAACAAAATGTTAGCAAATTAAATCCAACAATGTACGAAAAAAATTGTACACCAAAATCAGTTGGATTTATCCCAATTATGCATTCTAAAATCAGTTAATGTAATCAATCCATTACATCAACAGGCTAAAAAAATATATACATACTCATATCAATAAACGCAGAAATAAAGCATTTGACAAAATCCAACACCCATTGAGAATGATAAACATTATCAGTAAACTAGGAATAAAAGTAAATTTCCTCAACTTGATAATGAATACAAAAAAAAAAAAACACAACAAACACCAAAAAGCCAGACAGCTAACATCATGTTTAATGGTGAGAAACTCAAAGCTTTCCTACTAGTATAAGGACCAAGGCAAGAGATGTCTTTTATCAGCACACCTTGTCAATACTGTACTGAAAGTAATAGGTAATGCAATAAGAAAATGAAATAAAAGTATATAATGACAAAATTATGACATTATATATATAATGACATAAAATTGTCTTCATTTGCAGATGAAATAATAGTCTATGCAGAAAATCTGAGAGAAGTGAAAAAAAAACCCCAAACATCTGGAATTAATAAGTGATTATAGCAAGGCTGCAGACTACAAAGTTAATATATAAAAGTCAACTGCTTTCCTACATACCAGCAATGAACATATGGAATTTTAAATAGCAAACACAGTAACATTTACACTGCAGGAAAAAAAAGAAATACTTAGGTATAAGTCTAAGAAAATATGTACAAGATCAATATGAGGTAAACTACAAAGCTCTGATAAACAAAGCCAAAGAACTAACTAAATGGAGAGAGAGTCCATGCTTGTCGGTAAGATGACTTAATATTTTCAGGATGTCAGTTCCACCTAAATTGATCTATAGATTCAATGTAATCCCAATCAAAATCCCAGGTAGTTCTTTTATGGATATCAACAGATTCTCAAGTTTATAAGGAGAATGAAAATACCCAGAATAGCCAACACAATGTTGAAGAACAACAAAGTTGATAGACTGATGACACCTGACTTCAAAACTTACTATAAAGCTACAATAATCAAGACAGCGACATTGGAAATAGACAAATCAATGGAACAGAATAGAGAGCCAAGAAATAGACCTACTTACGAGGTCTGACAATTACGTTCATGAACTCATTCTAGAAAAGGTGCTACATACCTCATTGCTGAATATCACTATGGTCACCTTAGAAGTACTCCCCTTGGGAAGCTATGCACTGATGCCAGCACCTAAGTCTACCCTTCGAACCAATTTTGAAACTCTTTTTTTGGAATGGCTATCAGAGCTGTCATCAAAATGTCTTCCTTTTAATATTTCCTTTGTCTTCGGGTAAAGAAAGAAGTCATTGAGGGCCAGATTAGGTGAGTAGGAAGGGTATTCTAATAGTTATTTGTTTACTGGCTAAAAAAACCCTCACAGACAGTTCTGTGTGAGTTGGTGGATTGTCATAATGCAAGAGCCATTAATTGTTGGTGAAGAATTCAGGTGGTTTTTATCTACCTTTTCCACGCAGCCTTTTCAGCAGGTCCAAATACCATATTTGCCAGCGTATAAGACGATTTTTTGGCCCTGAAAAATATGCCTCCAAGTGGGGGGTCGTCTTATATGCCAGGTACACTTCAGATAGACTGTCCATATAACAAACTCTGTATTTTGAGTGGAAATGTTAGGGGGTCGTCTTATACGCCCAATCGTCTTATACGCCGGCAAATGCGGTAGTAAACTTAGTTAATGGTTTGTCCAGTTGGTACAAATTCATAATGAATAATCCCTCTGGTATCAAAAAAGATTAGCAACATCATTTTGATTCGATTTGGACTCATGGAACTTTTTTGGTCATGGAGAATTGGCTTACTTCCATTGTGCACTTTGATGCTTGGTTTCAGGGTCATATTGGTACACCCATGTTTCATCACCAGTGATAATATAGCCCAAAACATTGTCTTGCCTCTCCGAAAGGTCTTGGCAAACTTCGACTCTCCTTTGCTTTTGTTCATTGCTGAGGTCCTTTGAAACCATTTTTGCAGACACCTTTCTGATGCCAAGATTTCCAGTGAAGATGTTCCTAACTGCGTCTCTATCAATGTTTGCTTGGTCTATGCTTCTCACAGTCATCCGATGATTTTGATGCCAAATTCAACAAATTTTTGCAATATTTTCATCAGTTCTGCTCATTACTGGCCATGACCTCTCATCAGTGATGCATTCTCTCCCCTCAGGAAAATGTTTTATCCATTTGTACACTGCCGTTTTCTTCATAACATTATCCCCATAAACTTGGACTAACATGTCCCTGATTTCACTTCCAATCTTGCCAAGTTTAACAAGAAATTTAAAGTTTGTTCATTGCTCTAATTCAAGCTCAGACAGTCTCACAAAGGCATACAAAAACACATGACAATAATGAACACCACTCAGCAAGACACCACCACACATTGACACAAACACAGCTATAAGACACTGATATACCCAAGTTATGAAACCTTACCAAACAGTTTGTACAGTGCTGCCAATGTAAGCGCACAGTGGCAAGTTCATGAAGTTAACTGTCAGACCTCATACATACAGGCAAGTGATTTTTGACAAAGAAGACAATACAATGAAACAAGAAAGTCTCTTTACAAATGGTGCCAGAAAAACTGGACATCCACATTCAAGAAAATGATTCTAGACACAAAACTTACACTCTTCACAAAAATGAACTCAGAACAGATCACAGACCTAAATGTAAAATGCAAAACTGTAAAACTCCTCAATCATATAGAAGAAACACTAGATGAATTTGGGTCTGACAATGACTTTTTATATACAACACCAAAGTTATGATCCATGAAAGAAATAACTGACAAGCTGGATTTCATTAAAATTTAAAACATCTGCTCTGCAAAAGACAATTTCATGAGAATGAGAAGACAAGCCAGACCGGGGAGAAAATATTCATAAAAGGACTGTTATTCAAAAATATACAAATGATTCTTAAAGCTCAACAATAAGAAAACTTGATTAAAAAACGAGCAAGACCTAACAGACACATCACCAAGATGATATACACAGCAAAGAAATATATTTAAAAAGTTCCACATCTTATATCATCAGGAAAATGCAACTTCAACCAACAATGATACCACTATACACCTGCTAGAATGACCAAGTTCCAGAATACTGACAAGAGCTAATGCTGGCTAGAATATGGAGCAACTGGAACTCTTATTCATTGGTGGTTGGAATGCAAAATGGTACAACCACTTTGGAAAACAGTTGGTGATTTCTTACAAAATGAAACCAACTTTACCCTACAGTCCAGCAATTTTGCTCTTTAGTATTTACCCCCCCAAACTGGAAACATATCCACACAAAAATCTGCACACAGATGTTTATAGAAGCTTTATTCATAATTAGAAACAAACAGGTTGTCCTTCAGTAGGTGAACGGATTTATAACCGTGGTACATCCATACAATGGAATATTATTCAGCACTAAAAATAAATGAGATATCAAGCCATGGAAAGACATGGAGGAAACTTATTAAATGCATATTACTATGTTAAAGAAGCCAATATGAAAAGGCTACATATTGTATGATTCCAACTACATAATATTCAAGAAAAGGCAAAACTATGAAGATAGAAAAGATCAGTGGTTGTCAGAAATTAGGGGTGGGGAGGGGAGGGATGAATGGGCGGAGCACAGAGGATTTTTAGTGCAGTGAAAATATTCTGTACAATACTATAATCGTGTACATATGTCATATATTTGTCCAAACCCATAGACTATAAAACACCAACAGTGAATCCTAATGTAAACTAAAATTTGGGTGATTAATATTGGTTAATGTAGGTTTATCAACTGTAACACATTATCACTCTGGTAGGTGATGTTGATAATGGGGAAGTTTATGCATATAGGGGCAGGAGGCATATGGGAACTCTGTAGTTTACACTCAATTTTTCTGTGAATCTAAAATTGCTCTAAAAATTCTTTAAACAAAAGCAACAACAAAAAAAAAGAGGAAGAAAATCTTATCACTGGTTAAATTTATTGTATAAGGGGGGAGATCTACTTTTCTCCCATATGGTCAGCTGGATGTTCTTAACACAATTTAATGAATGATTCTGCCCTTACCCACTAATTTGAAAGGTCACCTTTAAATTCTTCAATAAGCTTGTATCTGTTTCTGGGTTTTATATCCTGTTACACTGACTTGTGTACATATGTCTATGCCAGTAATACCTTGTTTCAATTATTGTATCTTTACCATATTATTTAATGTACGTAAAGTCCTCCCCAAAATTAACTTTAAATATTTTCATTTTGAACAAGTTATGAGATACGAGCAAGATGCTGACTGAGGTTTTCTCATTCTCCTTGTGTTTTTCACCATAATTTTTATTAATGCTTCTAATTAAGATACCTATTTACTTAATATGAGTATTATAAAAGTAAAGTGGAAAATTACATGTAACAAGCACAACAACCATCTTGGCCAGGAAAACAGTTAAGATGCAGAATACGGGATATCATAGACTACATAGATAAATACCATAGAAAAATTCACAGTAAAGTGGAGAATATTCTGGAAACTCAAATCTTTTTCATGTTTTACCACTTAACCCCACACACACTGTCCTGATATTTTCACATTACATCGAACAATGACTGGATGGCCATTTGTAGAAAAAAGTCATATTTTGACACTAATTTTAGTAATATTTTATATTTGGAATTGTTATGAAACATTTACTGAATATTCACAATTTACTAAATAGTAGTCATACAGAGCTAACATAGCAATGAGAAACAAAATTTATTAGGACCTTAATGGATTTATAGAAATTAAAAGTTATACAGTAAGGACTGGGTGTCACCAAAAGAAAACATGGATTGACTGCTGCAGGATCATCTCACAGGCGTTATTTGCTTTGTGAGTTCACCATGATCCAGGCCATGGCCTTCAATCTTCGAGGTCTACAGTCTTATCTTGATCATGTCCCAGGATTCATCCAAACCAGGATATGGAGTTATGCTAACTATATCACAAAACTGAAAGATACAAAATGAGAAGAACAATATTAATTTATATTGCGAAATGCAATTATCATACAGATCAGATATGTCTGCTAAGATGACACTTCAATTTCTCTTCTAGGCAGATTACAATGAAAGCAAAATTATTACAGCATTTCTTCATAAACATTAAATCAAAGTCATAGGATGCTGATAGCTGGCTCTGTGCTTTATAGTTGATGTATTTGTCTACACAATGAAGATTAGTATGTCACACAGATCAAATGTTTCCATCACTCTAAGGCATTTTTCACCAAGAAAAGTGCTGAGATGTCTACCTCTGGGTTTCTTGTTTTTCTAGGTTTCCATAATTGGTTGACTGGTCCCATTCTGCCCCCGTTACCCCTCAACAATATTCTTTAGAAAATCTGTATTTATGTACACAATACGTGAATATAACTCAACTGCATATAATCCAAACAGACAAAATTATTCTTGCCACCAAACCTCTGCCTTTCTTCAGTCATTCTATCTCCAGAAGAAAACACAAGTATCAATTCTTTCCAGACTTATTTATATTTATTTAAACATACAGAAAGTACAGTAATATAGTTTTAGATAAGAGATTTTGAATATAAAATAGATCATACCATGTTATTCTGCAATTAGTTTTAATCCACTTAATGTCTTTTTTCTATATCAAAATAGATCTATTCCAATATTTCAAGAGCCACACGATATTATATTGTATAACAATTTATTTAGTCATTCCTTTGTTAAAAAGCATTTATCTTTGCAACTTTTTAAAAATTACCAACAATGAAGCATATTTGTTCGTATGTGGGAATATCTCCATAGGTTCCATAAATAAAATATACATCAGAGTACACACTTTAAAGTTTTGATACTGATAAAATACTATAAAATTTGTAGTCTCATAGTGTGTATTTCATATCCTTCCTAAAATTGAAGATTATGGAGACTTTTGACTGTTGCAAATATGATGGGCTAAATGGTTTCTCATATTGAATTACTGGGTTGTTGGAAAAGTCATGATGCATTTTTGCAACAGAAAACATACATCATGACTTTTCCGACAACCCAATACATTTCCATGATTAATAATGAAGTCAACTTAATTTGTTATGATTATTGGCCATTTATATTATGTCTTATAAGAACTGTCTGCTTTTTTTAACCATTTTTCTATCAGGATAGTGTTTTTGTATTATTACATAAGTGTTTTACATATTCTGGAAACTAATAATTTATCCATTATATGTACTTTAAATCTTGTGACACTGTACATCAATTCTTTTAAGTTTGTTATGATACATTTCATCATAAAGATGGAATGTTTTATATACAAATATTATATTTGCAAAGGTAAGACACTAAAACAAAGGAAACAATGTAACATGTATAGACAAGATTAATAATCTCCATTCCTAATCGCTAGAGGTTAACAGATGTTAATAGCCTGAGGTGGTAATGACATCAGCAAGATGGTAGTACAGGGGTTTCCAGTGCTCCTCCCCTAACAGAAACATCAATTTCAACAATTACCCATGAACAAATATACCTTCCCAAGAGCTAATGATTGTAGATTGGGTGTAGCACAGAAATAAGAAAAGATGCACTGAAGAGTTTCACATTACCCATCACCCCTCCCTCAAGTCCTGGCAGTACAGAACAGAAAGTGACACTCTTCCAGTGGGTGAAGAGAGCTAAGTCAATACTGGACTTCATCATGGACCCTAGTACCAGGCTCAAAACAGTGCCAGGCCAACTCCCAGAGCCCCAGCCTCCAAGCATGCTCCTAACTACCCAAGTACCTAACCCATGCCAGTGACAAACTGGACCCACAAGCCACAGATAACAGACAAGCTCCTACATACCCAGGCTCCTGGCCTGTCCCAGCACTGAGCTGGTCCCTGTGGACCCAGCCTCAAGACCAGCCTCTACAGCAGATCCTGCACGACTAGATTCCAGGCTTTCCCCAGCACTAGAGAGGCTCCCATGGACCTAGGCACCTGACCCTCTCCAGTGCCAAGCTCGCCCCTAGAAATTCAGCCTCAAAACCTGCCTCTGGGCCAAAGTGGCCCCATAGAACCAGTCTCTTGGGTGGCTCTTCTGGACTGTGCCCCCTAGCCCTCTATAACACCAGGACCTAGTAGACACAGGCTCCAGACCAAATTTTGAGAACACTGCTTCCTGGCCAGCCCCAGTACCAGGCTGGTCCCTGCGGAACAAGCTCCCTGCAGACCACGCCTTCAAACTGGCACCTTGTGGCCCTGGCCTACTAGTTGACCTTGTGGCTCCAGGGTAACCCCAGCACCAGGCTGATCCCAGCAGACTAAAGCTCCAGGCCAGATCCCACAGGCCCAGGCTCATGGCCCACTCCAGTGCCAAGCCAAAGACCACAGATCCAGCCTTCAGATTGGCTCCTGTGGACCAGAGATCCCAGCTAACTCCCAGAGACATGGGGCCCAAGTCCATCACTATGGACTCGGGCACCATGCCCACCCTTCACACCCAAGCATCAGTTCCTCCCCCAGGGACACAGGTTCCAGGTCCACCTTTGTGGACACTAACACAAGGCACAAGAATCACAAATAATGAAGGAAACATGAAACCACCAAAGGAAACTAATAAAGCTCCAATAAGTGACTCTAAAGAAATGGAGATCTATGACAAAGAATTCAGAAAAATATTTTCACTTAAATTCAGTGTACTACAAGAAAAACTCAGAAAACTAAATAAAATTAGGAAAATAATACATGAACAAAATGAGAAGTTCAACAGACACTGAAACTATTAAAACAGCAGGAATCCTAGAGTTCAAGAATATAATGACTGAAGTGAAAAATTCAATTGACAACTTCAATTTCAAACTCAACGAAACAAAAGATTATCAGTGAATTCAAATATATTTGAAATTATTCAGTGAGAGAAAAAAATTAAAAAGAGTGAAGAAAGCCTATTAATTATGGGATACTATTAAAGGAAACAATCTACTTATTATTTGAGTCCTAGGAGGATGCGGGAGAATGTTTATTTAATGACATTATGGCTGAGAACTTCCCAAATCTGGAGACAGATTTGTACATCCAAGTTTGTAAAGCTTGTAGTAGTATCCCCAGAAGTTTCAACTCAAAAAGATTATCTCCAAGACACATTATAATAAAACTGTCTAAAAATCAAAGATAAAGAATTTTTAAAGCAGCAACAGAAAAAATTCCTCACATAGAAGGGAACCACCGTAAGGCTATCAGCAGATTTTTCAGCAGAAACCTTATAGGCTAGGAGAGAGTGGAGTAATATATTCAAAGTGCTGAAAGAAAAACAAAATAAACCTGACAAGCAAGAATACTTTACCTGGCAAAGCTGTCCTTCAGAAATGAAGGACAGATAAAAATGTTCCCAAAGATGTGGGAGTTCATTACCACTAAATTTCCTTTGCAAGAAATGCTAAACGGAGTTAAGTTGAAATGAAAAGATGCTAATGATATGTCAACAAATGAAACTATAAAACTCACTGTATAGGTAGGAATACAGTCATGTACCACATAATGACTTTTTGATCAACTACAAACTTGATATATGATAGTGGTCCTGTAAGATTATAACGGAACTGAAAAATTCCTATTGCACAGTGAAACCATAGTGCAACACATTATGTGGTTGCGGTGATGCTGGTGTAAACAAACCTACCATGGTGCCAGTCATATAAAAGAGTAACATACAATTATGTATAGGGTGGCTGAATGGGTAAGCAAACAAGACCCTTACATATGCTGCCTACAAGAGACTTCAGATAGAAACACAAAGACTGAAAGGGATGGGAAAACAATATTTCATGAAAATGGAAATGGGGAAAAAGAAAAGCTGGGGTAGCAATACTTATATCAGACAAAACAGACTTTAAAACAAAGGCTATAACAAGAGACAAAGAAGTACCCAGTAATATCAATTCTGGGTATTTAGCCAAAGAAACCCAAAATACTACTCTGAGTGAATGTGTGCTTCCATATGTTCATTGCAGCATTATTTACAATGGCCAAGATGTGGAGGCAGCCTTGGTGTCTGCCGATGGATGAAATGATAAAGAGGAGGTGGTACATATATACAGTGGAATACTGTTAGGCCATAGAAGGGAATGGATTCTTACCATCTGTGGAGGCATGGATGGGCCTGGACGGTATTGTGCTGAGTGGAGTATGTCAGACAGAGAAAGAGAAAGGCAACGTGATTTCACTTATATGTGTAATCTAAAGAACAAAATAAACAAAACAAAAACAAACTCATAGATACAGAGAACATTTTGATGGCTGCCAAATGGGAGGGGGGGTTCAGGTATGGATGAAAAAGGGGAAAGGATTAGAAGTACAAATTTGTTGTTACAGTTGTCATGGGGATGTAGAGTATAGAATAAGAAATACAGTCAGTAATACAGTAATAACTGTGTATGGTATCAGATGGGTGCTAGGTTCACTGGGGTGATAGATGGGAGTGGGGTGGGGGGACAGGGTGAAAAACGTGAAGGGATTAAGGAATACAAATTGGAAGTTACAATATGTAAAGCATAGTCCCCTAGTCAATGGTAATAACTATGTATAGTGCCAGGTGGGTACTAGACTAGTTAGAAAGATCACTTCTTATATAAATGTCTAACCACTATGCTGTATACATGTGAAATTAATATAGAAGAATACTGAATGTCAACTGTAATTGAAAAATTTAAAAAGGGGGGGAGAGAAGGGGAAGGAGAATAAGAAGCTCAAATTTCCAGGTATAAAACAAATAAGTCATGGGGATGTAATGTACAGCATAGGGAATATAGTCAGTAATATTGTGATAGTATGGTACAGTGTCAGATGGTTGCTGGACTTATCATGGTGATCATTTCTTTAGGTACATAAATGTGAATAACTATGGTGTATACCTGAAACTAATATAATATTGTGTGGTAGCTATATTTTTTTAAATTAAAGTTTATTGGGATGACAATGGTTAGTAAAGTTACATAGGTTTCA